ATTTAAAAATATTGTTTAAGGTGGGTATGGGATAATCACATTGAAAAATCCATTTTTCTGAGAATTTTTCATATAAAAATACAACTTCTTAGAAATATTTTCCCAAAACCTCAGGTCATTTGAAGTAAAACTCATTAAGATAATGAGCTATGCACTGCGCCCCTTTTGAACCGGCCGAGAGCGGCAGGCAGGTAGCCGGAGCAGCTGCTTCCTTGCCCTTCAAATTTTATTGCCTTTGTAAATTGTTGTCCTTTGTAAGTGTCATGACAGAACGCGAGCCTACGTCAAAAAAATACGTAGCAATCGCTGACCTCGTGTCATCACCCCTTCGCTGTTGCCGCTGCTGGAAGCGCGTCTTTCATTTACGTACTTCAACATGAGACGTACATAGTTTTTGATTTTTTTCGCATTGACGCACCAAACCTAAAAATCTGAAAAAATTCATGAACAATTCTTGCGGCAATAAGAATCTATCATAAAAATATGGACAGTGTATCCGAACGATTTCTATGTAAACAAAAATATGTTTAGCACCTTCTTATTTTTCACGGTTACATTTTGTAACAAAAAAATCTGAAATAATTCTCAGACGTGTCCAGTTATGCTACGGACGTGTTGGAATTTTTTCAGATGAATAAACAACAAAGAAAAAAGAATGGATTGTCTGGGTTTCGAACACACGGAGCCTCGAAGACTCCGAATCTCGAAGCGTCGAAGATTCCGAGCCTCGAGGAGTGAATTTAGAATTCGCTTGCCTGACAGTCAGCACGCACACACGCACGTACTGCGTCACTCGACACGCGCCCCTTCTTTTAGGAGATGCACGAAGCCGGCCGCGAGATGGAGCGCTTGTAGACGAATTGTAGGCAGCACGTGCGCGGCCAAAGAGTTGGCAACAACCTCTCCTGAATATAGGGAAGAAGGAGTAGGGATGAGGAAGCGGAAGATCACTCCGTTATAGACTCCGTTTGAGAGAGTAGCTCCTACTAGATCACCACGTGCACTTCGCAGAGCGATATTGTTAAGTTAAATATATATATATATCCTTGTTCCAAATTTGGTCAAGTGTGCCTCATTTATAAAACGGGCAGTTGTGGATCTGCCCAAGACCCAAACCAAAACCCACAGAGTACCCTAGGCACGAGCATGGCAAATCTTATACGTATATTTTCAGCTCTGTACTGCGTATCCACTTTTTGAAGGGAGTAGTGCACAATCCCTCCTAAACTACGTCTATTTCCCCTTAAATAATGGACATTGACACTAGGGTGCGGTAGTGAGGCCTGTCCACTTTCGAACAAAGAAATGAGCAATCTCCCTTTTCATCTCTGCTAATACTCATTGTCCGAATCTTTGACTATATGTACATGGACTGCCAGTGGCATAGGCTTGCAATGCTAACGTGTTGTCGCCAACATCAGGTAGCCAAGCTCCGCCTTCAGGACTATCACGTGACCAATCAGCGGCAATTCCAAAACACTAAATTGAAATGGTGTACAGTATACATGCCCTTAAAAATCTCAAATCGTATTATTTTTCAAACCGTGGATCTACTACATTTGTAAATTAAGTCTTGTTGTATGTTGTTACGTATACAGCCCTGTATACGTATACGGCCCTGCGCGTTTCCAGAACGTTCGTTGCTGGTCACGTACGCATCCCTCGCATAGGTGACTCACGGGGCAAGTCTAGCGTGGAAGCTTCTAGAATATGCCCAAATATGGTCATCCCCCACCCCGGGAAAGAGCCTCATTTGGGTATAAAAGGGTGCTAGACCACAATCCTTCGGATTAGTCTACATTCAGTCACCAAGCAGTGTTACCGTACATTCGCTCGCTGAACGCCGAGCGGTGAACATCGTACGTCCATAAGCGACTAGTGAGTGAGTTATTGCCACATTGTGACCAGGAGTGCTTTTGTTTTCGTTTACTTTCTAACTGATTTTTAATAGTCATTGATTACATCAGTTTTATCCGAAGTGGCCGATAAATCGGCTGACTTCAAAAAACCCACTGAGGGTAGCCGAGGCCTCAAAAGACCTATGGTCTTAGAGACTCAGCTCGTAAATGGGCTTGATTTCTCCAATTTAGGAAACAAGAAAACCATTTCGACCCGGAGGGGTCTCGAGGAGGAGGAGAGGAGGCTTGAAGAGTCCTCGTCTGCTGGGCTGAAGGCCCTTGAAGTT